TTAAAAAGAAGTAAAGCATTTATGACTCTCCAAATTAGGGAGTATGTTTAGAGTTTAAATTTTTTAGAGAGCTCCTAAAATAGGTTTTTTGTGTTTTAAACTAAATTTTAGCTAAGAAAAAGGGAGCATGATTGTGGATGCTCTAACAGTTGCCTTTTGGCTCGGATTTGATTTTTCAATATGAATAGTTTTCCTGTAGAAACCCTTATCTCCTTTGGTAGTATTAGCATCAGAGCCAACCCTTTTGCGAGCGGAGGCACCAAATGCTGCTGATGCGATGGTTTAGGGTTGGATAAGTTAGATGACTGTTTGGGGATGGATAAGTTAGATGACTGTTGGTGGTTGGATGAGTTTAGGGTTCGATAATGTTTTGAAGCATAAGTTAGATGATTGTTTTGTGCTGGGGGTTGGATAATATTTTGTGTAGCTTAAAGCATGAATTAGATGATTGTTTTGCTAACTTGATGAGACTATGCCTTCAATTTTTGATTTGCTCTTTTGACCACAAGTTAAGCCTTTTGATGACCAAGTGTTGTGAATTGCATTTAGATTGTTGACCAGGTTTAGAAGATGAAGATTACATTGAATTAGATGTTTTGGTAGTATGTGTAGGTTTACTTTGTGGATGAATCCAACTGTAATGTTGCAAATTAATGAATTTTTATGTTATACTTAAGTACTTGCAACCTATAATGTTAGTATGTGTTTTAATGTTTATAATTTTCGTTTCGCTGCAATGTTGGACATCATTAAAGTGATCATATTTTATTGCTTTTTATATACAAACACATATTTATATGATTTTTATGGTATCTAGTGGCTTTATATTGTAGCACTGATAAAGTGCTCAAGGGTAGTTGGGTAAAACGCTAAATGTATAGGGTTTGGAAATGTTCCAATAGGACTTATTTTTGCTCCTAGTTAAATTATTCTTTTTTAATAAAATTATTTATTTTAATTTTAAGTTTTGCCAAAATTATTAATTTTTATTGACATCCCTAAAAATGGTAGTTACAGTAGTTTTAATGTTGCACAGTAAGCACACCTGTGCAAGAACAGAGGAAAAGTTACAGGCGTTAATATGTTTTCTCTTTTTATTTTATTTTAAAAAAAAATTATTGTACTGAGCATGGTTTCAAATTGTACTTAGTTCTTTTTATTTTAAAAAAAACAACTTATAGTATTGAGCATAGTTTCAAATTGTGCTTAGTTTTTTAAAATTATAAATGTAATATATATATATATATAGGGAGCTTCAGTTGAGGGATCTCTCAAATAAATCCCTCACTCTTGTAGAGCCCACTCCATATTGTATTTCACTAATCCAAATCGTTTATTTTGTAGATACTCATTCAAAGATTATCTCTACAAAAGATCACTTGAATCCGATATCATTTGACCACTCAATTGAATTATTGAAATTTTAGTACTTTCTTGAAGCAACGTGATCATTGATTTTGTAAGATACAATTGGATATCGAAACGGCTTCCAATTTGTCTGATTTTTTGCAAGGATGATATATAAATGAAGATTTGAAAAATAGATGGTTTGGAGCGTTGAAATAATTTTATTTGAGTGACACACTTTAGGGTACCGCACAAATTTTTTTTCAATGATCTAAACCGTCCATTTTTTAAGTCTTCATTCATAGATCATCCTTGCAAAATAATCAGACAAATTGAAAATCATTAAGGCATCTATTTGAAACCAACAAAATCAATAAACATAGTGCTTCAAGAAAGTACTTAAATTTCAATAATTTAATTGAATGGTCAAAGGATATTGGATTTAAGTGATTTTTTTGTAGAGATGATCTTTGAATGAATATCTACAAAATACAGGTTTGGATTAGTGAAATACAATTCAGAGTGGGCCCTACAAAGATGTCCATCAAATAAGCTTATTTGAGGAATCCCTCAATAGAAGCTCACTGATATCAGTTTTGCTCACATCAGGATGACTGGATTTGAATTAAAATGCGGACACTAAAGCTGAAACGTCAAATCAATCCAATGGTACTGCAGCTTTGATATGTATTAATTGACAAAACTTAAAGCCACGCACAGCAGCTCTTTAGTGTGTTTTTTTAACACGCAAGTGGCGGCCTCAACTTTATTGATTATTGAAGTAATTTAATATTATATCAAACTGAAAAGGCCACGGGCAGTCCAAGAGGTTTACTTTAATTAATTGTATCAACGCCTCCATCTTATCTGCATCTTTCTGACTTTGGCATCCCCATCACATCAGACCATAACCCTACAACTCAACTCATTCTTCCAAGTTCAAGTGCTATTTTAGTTTTTTTTAGTTTTTTTTTTTTTACTCATATTATAAAATTTAATATCTTATTTGTGTTTCAGAGCAAAAAAATTATCTTAATTGTGCTTGTTATTCCAATTTGCCTATCATGATTTCTTGACCTAAGTTTTTCATTATATAGGTACACAGTTGTTTAGTAATTTTCTTAGTTTTTTTTTCTTTGTTTCTTCTTCTAGAAATATTATTCTCTGATTTTTATGATTTTTTTTATTTATTGTTTTCATTGTAGTCGTTTCATCAAGATGGATTACATGGCCATAGAATTAGATGGTCATTCTGAAGGGGTGGTGTTGCGTAGATTTCAGCTGCACCAAAATGGATTAAGCTGCATCCTCAACTTGTGATACTCGCAAGTGCACGAACCGTTGGTAGTATAGCATATGTAAGTGCAAGGTCGATTCCACAGGGATTGGTGATTGAATGATCCAATTTAGTTTCCCTACACAAAATAGAAACAAAAACAAAGAACATAAAACAAGGAAGAAAGAAATAAGTAACTCAAGCAAATATAAGTTCCCAAATTCAATATAGATTAATGGATTGATTCTAGCTAAAGTATGATTAAGCCATGGTGTGTGGTCATAACCTTGTGTTCCTAATTCCCTAATTTGATCATTTGTTGTCTAACCTAAAATTAAGCATTAGGAACCCATTAAACATAGAAGAACAATTTAAACAACCAAGCATGTATCTAATCCCTGTTGTCGAATGTCCATACATACTCTTCCTATTCATAGTTCAATTCGAATTAAAGCATGGTGTATACTCTCAATTCAAACCAAGATAGCTAACATGCAAGCCTAAAGGGTGATCAATCATTCAAACTAGCATATTAACTTATAAGCATAATGAAAAAAAACAAAAACCATAATTGAAACTTGGAAACTAATCAAACTTGAAAAACTAAAGAAAAAAATTTACATAATGAAAAGTAAAGTGGAACTAAGAAAAACTTAAAGGAAAATTTCAGCACAAAGATCTCATTATAACAATTGAAAACTAGAAAAT